ACGACGACGGCTACTACTACAACTACTACTGCTGCCACGAGATCCACGACGACCGCCTTCACTTCAGTGCCCGCACACTTGTCGGGCCGAGTAGCTCCTCCTGCTGCAAGGCGGGTTGATCCGAAAGCCGCTCGTCTGCGAGCTCTGGCCTGGGAACCGCTGTTGTTCAGCGCGCTTTTGTTGGGGTCTTGGTCTTTTGGCGGCAAAAGCCGTCCAAATCTGAGCCCCGGCACCTGGAGGCACTGGGGACTCTCGGCAGCTCGACGTCTGTCGGGTCTGCTACCGCCCTTAGTTTCTTTCTGACTGAAAACTCACCAAAGCTGTCCTCCCTAACAAATCAGGATTTTAGACTAGCCTTAGCCAAACGATGCCAAGAATTCTCACCCCCATGCAATTGAAACCTAGTTGCAATACCCACACTACCCCCCTCGCCGGCCCTCGAAACTCAACTCATGCGAGGGATGAACACCTAAGCCAACCCAATCCCTGGCCATGGTTCGCCTTTAATTTCGTCTGTGTTTCGCATTGTCTTATGTTCCGGTGTTGGTTTCAGACTAACTCACTTCCGCCTTGTCTGCCTGTACAACAACATACCCAATCACCTTCGATGCTGCATCAATTCACTCTTGCCAGCCCTGCCGAGCCGAAAGCTCGAAACCTGCAGCTCTCAAACCCTTAAGCTTTGGGAAAAAACCCAACACCCTGAAGACTGAGATCGCCAGAATCCTCAAACCCTGCCCACCGATACCTCTGTAAACCCTCCCGTAGGTTCCAGAAGTGGCTGGTGCTCGAATCGTGGGTGCTTGAATCGCTGGTGCTGGAAGCGGAATGTTTTGCTCGACTCGCGGGTGCTTGAAACTCTCCGTAGCTGAATCATGAATCGTCGCGCTTGAATCTCGCGTGCTCGAGTACGGCGCTTGAATCGCAGTGCTCGAATCGCGCCTTCGCATCTCTGGAAACCTGAAGTCTGAAGCCCCACATCTGCACTCCAAGTCTGAAGTTCCAAATCTGAAGTTGAAATCTGAAGTCTGACAGGCACAAAAGCAAGGCCAGACAGAAACCCTATCCAGCAAAAGCGTTTCCCAACAAGAAACACACAGACACACACACACACACATACACAGAGACACAGACACACATCCGGCAGCTTATTGGAATCAAAGCAGCTCTGAGGAGCCTTTTCGCTGCAAACGCCTGCTTCCAGTGGACTCAGCGGACTGCGAATACTCGACCGACACAGCCGGCGGCAGCTCATCGAAGTCTGGCAGATCAGCCCCCCTAAGCTCCAAACAAAACGGAAGGAAACCATCCCATGTCCTCAGGCCAAAGCCATGACCCCTCTTGCAGATGAGCAGCTCGGACGAGGCAGCAAAGGCCTGCGGCGTAATCGAGGAGCCTCTCCTCTGCAAACGCCTGCTTCCACTGCTGCTCGCCATGGGACAGCATCGGCCCGAGCTCGAAGCACAGCTGTGCGGTTGCTATGGAGACAGCTGACAGTACTTGACTCTCGGGATTTCTGTTGATTCTGAGGCCGATCAGGTACTGAGGATGGGGTGGGCGTGGAGGCGGTGTGGAGGCAACGGTGATGCTACGTGCAAAAAGGCTCGCAAACCTGAGCGTTGCGGGCTCTCAGGACAGACTCTCTGCCACTCCAAAGCCGCAGGGAAGGAAAGCTGGGCGGCCTTGGAGTTTTCGGCCTCGGCCTCTGCCACTTTGAGCTCCTGCGCTTTTCCCAAAGAAGGCCGAGGCCGAGGCCCGCAGTTCTCTCAGCTCTCAGGTCCAGAAGAGATGCTCTCGCCAGCACTTCCGCACAGAGCTTGTAAACTTCTCGTCCTTCCAAAAGCACATTTCTCGGTTTCCACGGGCTTGCCGACGTCTTGTTATGTGCAGCTGAAGATCTGGGATACCATGCTGGGAAAGCATCCGCCCCAGCTACTTCGCCGAGCACCTGACACCACGGCCGTTCTTCCCCAAGCTGCCAAGCTTCGTCGTGTGGTCTCCCGAGCCCGAGACTGCACCAAAAGCCAAACCGCGAGCATAGCAATCGCCAGCCCCATCCACGTCCTCTGCCTGTCTGCCAAATCGCGAAGCCGGCTCGTGGGCTTCGGCGATGGCTTCGGAAGTGTAATTATCTTCCGCAGTTGGGCCGGAGGTTGTGAGAGCTCCTGTTCCCCCCCATAGTGGGACCGAACCCTGGATCGCTAGAGGAATCATTCCAACTTGCACTAGATAGGATACAGCTCGCACTCTCTCTTTTCCGATCTCGCGCTCACTGCTGCTTCCAGTTCGAATCTTTGAAGGTAACCCGGACACTCCGGGATAGTGCTTTGGTAAAAACCTCGAGGTAACGACATGGATAGAAAGGTTCCCACCTTTCGAACATATCAAACCTCGGAAGAGAACACCCTTCCGAATGAGGGTCTCTCCCTCACCTCAAGGCAGTCGCGAACACGCGCAACCCCAAAAAGGACTAGGTAACTCCACAGGAGGCCGGGTCCAATCAGGGTGGGTGGGCGGGCAGAATCAGCTGCCTGCCGTTTGGGATCACACTTGAACCACAATGGCAGCCAGCAACAAGCTTAGAATGATGCATGTGCACCCAAGCCTGCCATACTCAACACATGTATGCGTTCCAGCTTGCACTAGATAGGAGACAGTTCGCACTCTCTCTTTTCCGATCTCGCGCTCACTGCTGCTTCCCGTTCGAATCTTTGAAGGTAACCCGGACACTCCGGGATAGTGCTTTGGTAAAAACCTCGAGCAAACCTCGGAAGAGAACACCCACTGCAGTCAAAACCCCAAAGCACTCCTTCAAAGAAACTCGAACACCCGCAGCACCGCGAGGAAAGGGAGATCCACAAGCTGAAAGGGAAAACAAGCTACATGGCAACTGAAGCCATGCTGGTGAAGCCAGGGGTCTGCAAAACCGACACGACTGACTGCGTCAGCCCAATTCGTTTTTGGACGGAATATACTCGAAGAAGAAAGATGTGCGTAAGGCAAAGTCAATGTACCAGAAGCCACGCCTGCCACGAAAGGACGGGGCTCGAACTGCGAGGGCGTACAAGACCATTGCGAGCTCTAGCTGGGCGATTTTCTGGTCACCGGGAGTGGAGCACGCATACACTTCTGGACCAATAGCGGCAACAAAGCTCTCCCGGACAAGCCAAACCAGGTGGAAGCCGCCCGAGCCTTGGCCGGGATCATCTTCAGCTGCGTCACTCGCAGCAAGAAACCGGGGCCACACCCGGGGAAGGATGTCGAACTGTCTTTCCGGGCGAGCGGCAAGCACTGCCCGTATGAGAGCAAAACAGGACAGAATCGGTGGGGTCAACTCCCTACCGCCCTCATCAGCTCGCTCCCGGATCGCGCGCAACCCGCTGGCCCCAACACGACCATACATGCCTTGCTCCAAGAAGTTGCATGTGCCATAATTTTTTGCAGCAAGTCCTGGAGGCAAGGACTGCGTTTGCACTGCTTGTTCGATGAGGTCGCGGACCTTCTCAACAAGTCGATCACGGACAAAGAAACGCGCAAGGCCACTTCGCAGGCAGGCACCAAAGTCAAAGTCGAGGCCAAGGAAGGTACCTGTCGAAGCCATCCGCTGCCGCTTGGCGTCTGCAAAAGGGAACCAAGGCAGGAATTAAGGCTCGCAAAAGAGGCCTGGGCCGAACAGCCCCGTCAGTAAAGTGGGCGTCGTCGAAATACATGGAAACCAAGATGGCCAGGAGCCGCCTGCCGAAGGCTTCCGCTGCCCGGCTGTAGCGATTGAAAGTGGTCACCGCCAAGGGCAATCCAAACAACAAACCGGTATAGAGCTGAAAAGCTGGCTCCCCCCACCCGGCATGCCACCATGCCACGACGCAACAGCGTGAGGAATCGCCATCCATGGGGCAATGCCGGTACGCCGCCGGCCAATCCTCCCCCCGCCTCAAGGGAATCCTCCGCAATAGCCGAGAGCTCGTCTGCTGACAGACAAGCCAACATGGCAGCAGCATGCTGAGTTGTTTGCCTCTGGCACACCAAAAGTGGGCTGTCGACTGTGTGACACATATGGGGTGCGATCTCTTGAAATGCTTGTGGCGAAGGCAGGCCGCCATAATCAGCCAATCTGCCAAGAGGCAAGACCACCTCGGGTCACCAGCGTCGTAGAGCTGGACAATGCGGTGTTCCAGCTCCTCAACCATCCCTGGTTCAGCCACAGCAGCCTGTGAGGGTAGGAGCTGGCCGCAAATCGCTCAAATCCCAGCTGAGGCCAGAACCACCGGAGTCCAGCCAAAGCACGAGCAGGAGCTTGTGTGCCGTCACGCAGGAAGGCAAAGAGGTCGATGGAATCGATGTCCCCCAGGCCGCCCGACCGACCACGGATCACTTGCCACTGAGACAGCTCTGTCAGGGCGGGCAAGGTGCGGGCCCAGCACTTTCTGGAAGGAACACCACTCCTGGCGGCGCTCCCCGCGCAGGTCTGCAGGCTGACGGGCACCGGCATCGACCAAAAAGTCGCAAAGCTCCGTGGCTTCCACCCCCGGTCACCGCAGGTGCCGCACGCTCACGCAGGGGAACGAAAGCTGGGCTGGAGGGACGGCAAGCGATACAGAGCTGGCGAGGCGGGCTCCAAGCATGATCACCTCCGACCATATCAGCAACTTGGCAACGGAAGGCAAACAGAGCTGACGAGGCAGCCAATCAGCAACGCAGGGGAAACAAAGCTGGCGAGGCGGGCTCCAGGCATCCTCATATGCAACCAGAATATCAGCAACTAGGGGAAACCAAAATGGCATCATCACCTCCGGCACATCCAACCACATCAGCAACTCAATGGGGGGGGAGGGGAGGGAGAGGGGGTGAATCAGGGGGGTGGTCCCGGCCCACTGCTGGCAGAAACGAAAGCCTCGCTAAGCCAGCTTTCGTGATTACAGAGCCTGGTGTAACTACGCCATGGTGGGAAGTTGATTCGGGCACGGACACTGGAAGAATTGATTCTCGCGCCAAGCGGCTGCTTCGGTCTCAGACGGACAGTGTATTCGCACTGACCTAAACGCGAGAATGGGGTGTTAAGACGCACCACAAGCAGCAAGAGGGTTTGTGCTGGGATCACCAAGGCTCGAATCGGGATTGTGCTCGCATGGCGTGCGCTTGAATCCTGCTTGTTTGCTTGACAGTGCTTGGAATGCTCTAAACTGTATGCCAAGGGATGATGGTGGTGGGGGTGGTGCGGTGGTGGGGGTCGTGGGGGTGATGGGGGTGGTGGGCGTGCTTACTACACTACTGCTACGACTGCTACTACGGCTACTGCAACTACTACTGCTGCCGCTACTGCCACTGCCACTGCCACTGCCACTGCCACTGCCACTGCCACTGCCACTGCCACTGCCACTGCCACTGCCACTGCTACTGCTACTGCTGCTGCTACTGCAAATTTGCAGCTACTGGAATTATCTGAGAG